TCTTACTAATATTATAAATGTGAAAGTTTGTATGTTTGGATGTTTGGGAAATCATCACGCGGAAACGACTGAACGGATTTGCATGAAATTTTGTACGCATATAGCTTATGGGCCAGATTGGTTAATAGGCTATTTTTTTTAAGAGTTGCCACCTGTTAAAAAGTTTAATTTATTTAATATGCGGGAACGACTGAATGGATTTGCATGAAAATTTGCACGCAGATAGCTTATGCTCTACAGTGGAAAATAGGCTAATTTTCTTAAGAGTTGCCACCTGTTAAAAAAGTTTCATTAAATTAATACGCGGAAACGACTGTATAGATTTACATGAAATTTTGCAAGCAGATAGCTTATGACCTACAGTAGAGAAAAGCCTTATTTTTTGGAAGAGTTGCCACCTGTTAGAAAAGTTTAATTAAATTAATACGCGGAAACGAGCAAACGGATTTGCATGAAATTTTGCACACAGATATATTATGACCTAGGTTAGAAAGTAGGCTACTTTTTTTAAGAGTTGCCACCTGTTAGAAATGTTTAATTTAATTAATACGTGGAAATGAGTGAACTGATTTGCATGGAAGTTTTCACACAGATAGCTTATGAGCTAGGTTGAAAAATAGGGTACTTTTTTTAAGAGTTAGAACCTGCTAAAAAAGTCTAATTAAATTAATACGCGGAAAAGTCTGAACGGATTTGCATGAAATTTTGCAAGCAGATAGCTTATGACCTACAGTGGAAAATAAGCTAATTTTTTGGAAGAGTTGCCACCTGTTAAAAAAGTTTTAATTAAATTAATACGCGGAAACGACTGAACAGATTTGCATTACATTTCGCACAGAGATAGCTTATGACCTATGTTGGAAAATAGGCTACTATTTTAAGAGTTATCACGTATTAGGAAAGTATAATTAAATTAATACGCGTAATGACTGAACTGATTTGCATGAAAGTTTGCACACAGATAGCTTATGACCTAGGCTGGAAATTAGGCTACTTTTTTAAGAATTGTCACCTGTTTGAAAATGAAATTTTGCTCAAAGATGGTTTATGACCTGGATTGAAAAACAGGCTACTTCTTTAACCGGTTTTCCGATCAGAACGAAATTTAGTACACTTACTACGGATTTCGGAAGGATGGATGGTCTTAGACTGAAAGTAAGTCCGATAACTCAGGGCCCCTCCCATACAAATTGGAATTTTCATATTACATACATATCTCTGGAAGTATTTGTGGGAGAGAACTGAAACTTGGTATAGTGATATCTATGTGAAATCAATGTTGGCATTAATCGATTGATGTTTTAATCAGTTAGTTAATTCGATCAAATTCAATCTGATTACAGTTAATCATGATTAATTTTAAACTGACTAAACAGTTAATCGTAACCGCGATTAAAAAATTAATTTTTTATCATTAACTCTTAATTCGATCAAGTAGGTTTGGTGATTAATTAAGTTATGCTGGAATTTCCCTGTGCACACAAACCAAGTTAATCCGGTATGGCTAAGTCGGGTTTCCTTATCCATCTAAGGAATTTGGAGTGCATTTTCATTATTAAGATATATACCAACAAACGTTTTACAAACTAGGTTTGTAAAAGTTCCCAGTTTATGTATTACTAATAGCAATAATTATAATTTTTTTATATTATGTTGTTTTTATAAGCGTAAGACACAAAATAATTATAATAACTGGTGTTTGGTTTCAAACTCGGACAAACTAGACAAATTAATCAGATTTTATTTTTAATTGGATTAACGATTAATGTCTTAAATTAATTAAACGTAATCGCAGCCAGCGATTAACGATTCAAAAAATGTTATCATTAATCGTACAGTTGATAACGACTAATTAATTTTAATCGTCAAACGCGATTAACATTTTAATCGTTAATCAGATTAACAGTTTTCCAACACTGTGTGAAATCATGTTCATATTCACGGAGAAAAATGGAGGTTTTTGGAAAAGAGGCGTAGCACCTCCCATACTGACTGAAAGTTTCATATTGCATATCCCTTCAAATGTTTGGGGTAAAGTACTCAAGGTTGGTATGGAAATACATATGTATGTATGTATGTGAAACTAATACCAAACTCATGGAGAAAAATGAGAGTTATTTGAAAAGATGATGTGGCAACTCCCGTGCATATTGATTTTTCTATGCCGCATATCTCAGGAGGTGTTTATTGCAGAGGACGGGAGCTTGGCACCGAGATGT